AACCAGCATAACATATTGTTATGATCGTGGGGTTGGACTGCATCTTGAATGCTTTGGATGACATAAGATATTTTTTCAAACCGAATTTTCAAAATGCAAACTGTCTTTCCCTTTAACATTGTGTTTGTGTGTTTTTGTGATTTTGAAAAGCACTGTCTATGGAAACGACTGTTTCATCACATTTCTCATGATCATGTGGGAGGTGACTTTTAACATTTGTTGGTTTCATGTATTGCAACATCTTGAGTCATAGCTGGACAATGTAAAGGCTGGTGTGATGTAAATCTCTTTGTGTGATTTTAGACGGGGAGTGAGTACGTGCTCATTGACCTGAAGTGAAATGCAGATTTTTTTTTTTTTTTTGTGGGTGGACACTAAATGAAAGCTACACTTATAAAAATTACAAAACTTATTGAAAGTCAGATCTTGAAAGACTGAAAGCTCTGATATCATCTTTTCACCTGCACACAAATAAAGAACAAGTGTCACTGGACCTGTCATCATATAAAAGGTAGGTTAACCTTAGATACGTAATTAATTAAACTATTGTGTTTATTGATTATTGGAATAATTTTCTTATGACACAACAATCTTTGCTTATAGCTGATATATGTCAAATATTTTAATTATGCTGATGTTGTGCCATTTTTTCTACTACACTGTATATTACAAGTAAAACCCATACATTTGCTTTTATACTTACCTCAATGTTACATTTGGTAAGAATAAAAGCAACAGCCAAATTAACACAAAAAAAAAACAGTATCTATATCAGTATATATGGATATATACATATATATATATATATATATATACACACACACACACTTACATACATACACCCTGCCGTTCAAATGTCTAATAAATCAGCATATTAGAATGATTTCTGAAGGATCATGTGACACTGAAGACTGGAGTAATGATGCTGAAAATTCAGCTTTGCATCACAGGAATAAATAATATTTTAAAATAAATTATAATAGGAAACTTATTTTAAATTGCAATAATATAATAAAATATTATAAATATAATAAAATACTATAAAGTAATTAAAACATTTACATACATATTAAGGATGAGAAAATACATATTTATATGGCTATATTCATGGCTAGAGTGATTTTATTTAATAATTTTTTATTATTCTTAATATGTAATTCCTTTTCTCCCATGTTGCAGTTTCCTTTAAAATTCTTCTCATTTCCAGGTCAGCATGGGCGACTGGGGATTCCTCTCCAAGCTTTTAGACAAAGTGCAGTCTCACTCAACCAATATTGGGAAAGTGTGGCTGACGGTTCTGCTGATCTTCAGAATAATGGTTCTTGGAGCTGGACTGGATAAAGTCTGGGGAGATGAACAGTCCAGTATGGTCTGCAACATCAAAACTCCTGGTTGCTTGAACGCGTGCTACGACCACATCTTCCCCATTTCCCACATGCGATTCTGGGTGCTCCAAATCATCTTTGTGGCCACGCCAAATCTGGTCTACCTCTGCTACGTTCTGCACGTCATCCACAAGGAAAACAAACTGAGGCTGCATTTACAAAACCAGGCAGAGAAATGTGGCGTAAAACTGCCCAAATACACTGATGACAACGGGAAGATTTATTACAAAGGGAGCCTGCTTGGTTGCTATATGTTGAGTATCATTGTGACCATTTTGTTTGAAGCCGGGTTCATTGTGGCCCAGTACTATTTAATCGGCCTTTGGATGCCCACACAGCTAGAATGTAAGGTAGATCCTTGCCCTGCAGTCGGTCTGCATTGTTTTACATCCCGCCCAACTGAAAAGACCGTCTTCATTGTCTTCATGCTCATTGTGGCATGTGTGTCTTTAGCTTTAAATCTAGGAGAGATATTCTATCTGATGGGTCGTAGAGGTGAACACAAGAGGAGGACGCCTGCAGTAGCTGAGATGCAGAAATTAACCCCCACTGAGATATTTTGCTGAATGAAACTGTCTGAAATGACAGCATATTTCCCGTAAAGCTTACTGTATCTACTAACTTTGTAATGTCAGCACTTTTTACTTCTTTAATAAACCATCATTTTATTGGTTTAAGGAAACAAATGATGCATTTTCTCTACTCCAATTTGAACTAGTGACATCTACTGTAAAAATGATACATACGTTTATAACTGTAATACCAGGGGTTGTAGCAATTATTATAAACCCAAACATTTACAAATCTCCACGCATTCTGAGAGATTATTACTTTTCAAGGACCCCTGAATGTCTTCAGTCCCACTTTTCCAAACAGTCTTGCATTTGGAAACTGACTGCAACCACTTTTACCAGTACTATAGCTACCACAAAAATCATTAGAATGTTAATGCACACGGTTATGATTTTTTTTTAAATATTTTTTTATTTTATTATTATTTTTTAGGTGAAAACTAGGTCGATTTAAATAAAAAAAATTGTTTATGTATGTTTTATCAGTTTTATATTAGCTTTGAATTAATAATAGGCTTTGTTATAATTTTAAGCAGAAGTACACACACTCTCAGAAAAAAAAGGTACAACATCTGTCTCTTGGGTGGTACCCTTTCAAAAGGTACACCTTTGTACCATACTTATCCTTAAAGAGTGTGTTAAATTTTCATATTAGTACCTAAATGGTGCAGTTTAGTACCTTTCATAAGGTCGGCCTTATTTTACCTTTTTTATAAGGTGCAAGATAAATGGTTAGACATATCTAAATATTGCAAAAGGGTTAAATTATCCTATATTAACCAGGAAAAGTCTGGGAGACTTTCCACCACATGGGGGCGTATGAGGATTACAAATCATTTGAAATTCAGGAAACCGAGACAACAGCGCATTCTCGATTAAAATAACTCTTCAGACAGATTAATACAATATTTAGCCATGAAAAACAGTAATGTTGTGTTTAGAAAACAAAGATTTGTTTCCCCAATTTTTTATTTTTTACATTTTTATGTTTTTATTTTGAAAAAAAATTATTTTATTTTTAATTAAAAAGAAAAAAATATTGACACTGCCGTTTCAATAATAATAATAAAAAATGTAAAAGAGTAGGCTACTCCACATAATGCGTTTTCATAGTTACAGTGCATTTTATTTATCATTTTTGTATTCCCATCAAGGAATAGTCCCCCAGAAAAAAACGAAAGAAAGAAAAAACAACATATACTAGCCTATATATAAATATAAAAGGTCGTCTCAACACTTAAATGGGTGTTTTCCTCAATAGACCACCAAGGGAAACTAACAAGACACCTGAGAAACAACGTTGGCATTACTAATGTCAAATCTGGCATGACACGTGAGACGCCATGTTTGAATATTTGTGAAGCTTAAAATATACGCATATTCAAATAATGATTCAAATAGAACAAATTAGATTCCACCAGCACATGACATACAGTAGGCTATGAAGTACTTCTATGATTCTGATATGTTTGGAACTCCCCTTTAATTCTTTGCTGAAATTAATAAAACTAACAATTCCTAATATACGTCTACCCACACACCATTAGCTAAACAATACTTTAATATATCTTAACAAGAAAAAACATAGTTAAATTATTTATAAAGGTTACTTAACACATTAATTTTAACTAATGAAAACAGTTTTGATGATTAAACACATGATTAAAAGCAGAATATGTGTTAAAATTAGCATGAGCTATGCTTTTATGAAACAAATAACGTCATATACTAACAATACTCTCATATAGTTACATGTGGCGTGCTTTAATCCTTTATTGTTCGGTCATTTTAGACCGAAAAAAAAAAATGTTTTGAAATTTTAAAAATCGCTACTTCATTGGAATGGTACTAAACTTGCTGACTTTTATGGCAGTCACTCTGTGACCAAAAAATAAATAAATAAAATAAAATAAAATCTTGGACTTGATTCGAAAAAGCTAAATGGTTGTAAAAAAAAATAAATAATAATAATAATAATAAAAAGTCACACACGGTTGGTCGCTCAAAAATGACCGCCATTGGAAATGAATGGGAAATACGCAAAAATACAGATATTTTTTTGTGTGTACAATCTACAAATCATTCACAATGCAGAAAAAAAGTGCACGGCAATGAAGGGGTGACACTCTAAAATATCAAGAGAGCAAAAACAGGCACACTCCCCCCACCCCTCACAGACACACATTTGAACTAGTGTGACTGTAACATAAAGCATGTTCTTGCAAATATGTGAAATAAAATCAATAATTCAGCCACAATGCAGTAAAAACACATACACCAAGGAAGGGGTGACACTCTAAAACATCAAAAATACAAAAAAGACACACACACTCAAGCGCACACTCACTTAAACACACTCACACACACACACACACACACACACACACACACAACACACACTATTATACACACACAAATGAACTGGTCTGGCTGTTACAATATGGCAAAATTAAGCCAGAAGACTCAAATTAGAGGTTGAAATCAGATTGATTAAAGGGGTCATATGATGCGATTTCAATTTTTCCTTTCTCTTTGGAGTGTTACAAGCTCTTGGTGCATAAAGAAGATCTGTAAAGTTGCAAAGACTAAAGTCTCAAATCCAAAGAGATATTCTTTATAAAAGTTAAGAGTCAACCACGCCTACCTAAAACGGCTCGTTCTAACACACCCCACATACCTACGTCACTATCTGGGAAGAGTTGCATAACGCCGCCCAAATAGTGACGTAGGTATGTGGGGGCGTGTTAGAACGAGCCGTTTTAGGTAGGTGTGGCT